CCGTGGTGCTCTCAGATTTTGAACAAAACCAGGGAATGTTCATTGAAAAGCCCCACGAAAYGATCATTGGGGATTTTCTGAAGTTGTGAAGTACAAAAACACCAAGATCTGTAAAGGAGATCCCCACATTTCAGGAGCTGRYGASGAKKMYTTTCTCTCCCGGGACCAAAATGCCRCTGGCGTGGATCGTGCCCTCAGCGATTTGGTTGGTGCTGCACTTCCCAGCAGGTCAGAGGGGTTTCTCCCCGCACACAGCGATTATCTCTCTCTCAATGAAGCACTCAGCTTAATTAGGGTGRGGCTTTTCCAGTTTCTACTCCAGTGAAAATCTTCCCTCTAGGAGAGCGAAGAGCAAAGAGCTGCTCACACATTACAGAGGGAGGCTGTGGTAAAATTCTCATTTTTTTTTTATGAGAAAACCACACCATAGTGAGTGTCCACCCCACAGAGAGTGTCCACTGGGACAGGCAGAGTTCGTGAACAGGGAAAAATGTTGTTCCAGGCTTTCACAGAATCCCAGCCTGRTTTGGGCAGGAAGGGACCTTAAATCCCRYCCAGTGCCACCCTTTCCATGGCAGGGACASCTCCCAYTGTCCCAGRGTGCTSCAAACCCTGTTCAACCCAGCCTTGGGCACTGCCAGGGATCCAGGGGCAGCCACAGCTGTRCCAGGRCCTGCCCACCCTCCCAGGGAACAATTCCTGCCMAAATATCCCACCCAAATCTYCCCTTTTCCACTCTGAMSCCATTCCCTGTGTCCTGTCCCTCCATCCCTTGTCCCCAGTCCCTCTCCAGCTCTYCTGGASCCCCTTTAGGCCCCRAAAGGGGCTCTGAGCTCTCCCTGGATCCTTCTCMTCTCCAGRTGAGCACCCCCAGCTCTCCCAGCCCAGCTCCAGCCCTGCACCGGCACTTTTGCAATCCCCGATGAACGAAGGGTTCTGGCAGTTTTTACCTGGGGTCGGGTTGATTTTTGGGGACTGAGAGCGATCCACAGCTGATCCCAGACCGGGCACGAATTCCCATGCAGAGCCAGGAATTTTTCCATCAGACAATCAGGGAGAGCCTGTCTGTGCCGTGCCGGCATCGAGTGATCCCTGCTGGAGTTTGTTCTCCCATTCTGTTGCAGAATCCTGCAGGAAGGGAGCAGCGAGCCCCGGGAAAGGCACCCGAGGGGCGGTGGAGATGTGCAACAAGGGCAGTATCACAGCCAGCAGCGGCCGTGCCATCCAGCGCCACACCAGTGTCACTTTGGGGTGCCACCTGCGCTCCCCGCCCGCTCCCGGCTGGTGCCGGACCGCGATTTTCCTCAATAACTCCGAGCAGAGCCGGGGCTGGGGCGGAGCGGTCACCGGCACCGTCCGGGTCAGCACCTACGGCAAACACACCTTCACCTGCAAATTCCTGTGCGGGAACAGGAGCAGCCTGGTGTGCGGGATCGACATCCGCTGCGGCAGTAAGGAAATGATCGCTTATCGTGCCTTGATGGGTTCCATTGTGGCACGGATAAAAGGGTTTTCCCTCGGTGTTTCATGGGATCCCAAATGCACGGCGCGATGGAAAATGTGCCCTGTGTGTAGCGTGGATATGAGTTTTATACATTTCACAAATTAGGAAATTTAAAGAGCAAAGAGCTGCCCACAAGTTACCCAGGGAGGCTGTGGGGTCGAGCTGCTTTTTGTGAAAAAAAACCCACAGAGAGCGTCCACCCCATAGCGAGTGTCCACCCTACAGTGAGTGTCCACCCCATGGCGAGTCTAGAATTACCCAATAAGAAACTTAACAAATGCAGAAATGTCCCCTATTCTAAAGAATCCCCCCAGGATCAGACCAGAGCCCAGTTTACCCAGAATGTTCCAGCCTYGAGGTTTGAGATCCCACAGTGCTCACTGACCCCTCAGTGGGGTTTTTTGATCTCCCCAAAACTGAGCTGGAATATCAGGCTGTAGGAATTACAAACATGTAGGGGTACAGGGATATGTAAAGGGCACCGAAATGACTAAAAGAGTGTGTAAAATGTATAAAAAGGAAAGGCAAAAATCATKGAGCATCGTTCATTTTTGTCCTTAAATCTGCCCTGGGCACCCCTGAGCTCAGGTTCTGTCAGGGGCTGTCTGTGAGGGGCTGTTCCTTTTGGAAATATTCCTGTCTGGAATTGTGCAGTTCTGCTGTTCCTCAAAGGAAAGAGGATAAATAAATAATAAATAAATTAAT